GGATAATAAGAGAGATTCTGTTTTGCTTGTAAATATAGTTAAAGGAGCTAAGTCCTTTCTCTTGGTGACTGAGTCTTACCTAAACCGGAATTAGCACATCTGCATGGACATTTCCCCTTCTGCCATTATTATATTTATAAACAAAAGCTGCCCCCTTGATTGATTTCTTTAACCATCATCACCATAACCCATTTATTTCAATGAAATGCACAGTGAATGCTTCTAATGCAACTTTCTACTCAAATTGTGGCAAAATTGTATCAAGCATCTCTTTAGATCAAATTATCCCAGTACTTCATTTATTTTAAGTGGCAGAGGCTCCTGGCATTTGCCTTACCCCTTTTGATGCAGATACTCCCTGGGGGAAATAGCCACACCCACTAGAACACGATGAATAAATAATGATCAAGTCGTCGAGGCACACCTTAACAACTCAACTATTTTTAATGTCTTATAAACATTTTGTTAAATGTAAAGCCTGGCAAGGTGGCTCATGCCTGTAATCCCAGCACTTAGGAAGGCTGAGGTAGGTGAATCACTTGAGATGAGGAGTTTGAGACCAGCTTGGCCAACATGGTGAAACCCCATCTCTACTAAAAATACAAAAATTAGCTGGGCTTGGTGGCTGACACCTATAATCCCCACTACTCAGGAGGCTGAGGCAGGAGAATTGCTTGAATCCAGGAGGCAGAGGCTTGAATCCAGGAGCTGAGATCATGTCACTGCACTCCAGCCTGGGGAACAGAGAAAAGAAAAAAAAGAAAAACAGAAACTACAATGCATAACACAAAGTGTTACGCTTTGCTTTTTTAAAAAAGTTTCATATATAGTTGTATTAGTCTGTTTTCATACCAGAGACTGGGTAACTTATAAGGAAAAAGAAGTTTAATGGATTCATAGTTACACATGGTTGGAGAGGCCTCACAATCATGATGGAAAATGAAGAAGGAGCAAAGAAATGCCTTACATGGTGGCAGGTGAGAATGTGTGCAGGGGAACTGGCCTTTAGAAAACCATCAGATCTCATGAGACTTACTCACTAGCATGAGAATAGCATCGGAAATCCCACTCCTATGATTCAATTATCTCCCACTGGGTCCCTCCCAGGACACATGGGATTATGGGAGCTATAATTCAAGAAAAGATTTGGGTGGGGACACAACTAAACCATATCATTCCATCATGGCCCCTCCAAAATCTTATGTCCTCACATTTCAAAACACAATCATGCCCTTCCAACAGTTCTTCAAAGTCTTACCTCATTTCAGTATTAACTCAAAAGTCCATAGCTCAAAGTCTCATCTGAGACAACGCAACTCCCTTCCATCTATGAACCTGCAAAGTCAAAAGCAGGTTAGTTACTTTCTAGATACAATGGGGTACAGGCATTGGGTAAATACACCCATTTCAAATGGGAGAATGGTCAAAACAAAGGAGCTACAGGCCCCATGCAAGTCTGAAATCCAGAGAGGCAGTTAAATCTTAAAAGCTCCAAAATGATCTCCTTTGACTCCATGTCTTGTTTTTAGGCCATGATGATGCAAAAGTTGGGTTCCCATGGTCTTAGCCAGCTCTGCCCCTGTGGCTTTGCAAAGTACAGACTCCCTCTTGGCTGCTTTCATGGGCCGATATTGAGTGTCTGTGGCTTTTTCAGTGCAAGCTGTCAGTGGATCTACTATTCTGGGGACCATGGCCCTCTTCTCACAGCTCCACTAGGCAATGTCCCAGTAGGGACTCTGTGTGAGGGCTTCCACCCCGCATTTCCCTTCTGCACTGCCCTAGCAGAGATTCTCCATGAAGGCTCTGCCCCTGCAGCACACCTCTGCCTAGACATCCAGGTATTTCCATACATCCTCTGAAATCTAGGCAGAGGTTCCCAAACCTTAATTCTTGACTTGTGTGCATCTATAGGCCCAACACCACATGGAAGCCACCAAAGCATGGGGCTTGCATTCTCTAAAGCAACAGCTTGAGCTGTGCATTGGCTCCTCTTAGCTATGGCCGAGATACAGAACACCAAGTCCTGGTACCAATTTACCATTTCCATACTGCTATAAAGAAATACACAGGCTGGGTAATTTATAAAGAAAAAGAGGTTTAATGGACTCACAGTTCCACTTGGCTGGGGAGGCCTCACCATCATGGCAGAAGGCAAAGGAGCAGCAAAGGCATCTCATATAGCGGCAGTCAAGAGAGCTTGTGTAGGGGAACTGCTCTTTATAAAACCATCAGATCTTAAGAGATGTATTCACTATCATGAGAACAGCATGGGAAAACCTGCCCCCATGAGAGCTACAATTCAAGATGGGTGGAAACACAGCCAAACCATATCTATAGTTAAAATCTTAGATGTAGACTTAATGTTTTTATAGACAAAAAATATAAAATAAAAAAGAATTTAAATGTTTTTCTAGGATCCCCAATCAATGCATTTTACTTTTAATCATTATTGTCAATGTACAGTTTTTAATGCTCTATTTTCATTCAGATGTATATTTTCATGAAGCAAGACTTACTTTATTTGTTTGATGTTTTATTTCATAATTTGTATGATCATTTTTCTATTATGGACTACTTATATTGAAACAGTTCATCTGGATGTAAAAAAAGTCCTCTTCTCTTTTTTTTATTGCCAATCGCCCCATATCCAAATTGTTTAAATAAGTGGTTCTCCCCATTTCATGAACATTTGAATCACTCTTGGAGATTATGAAAACAAAGAGGTTATTTTGTGTTATGCCAGACTTACTGAATCAGAATTCATGAATGGTGGCTGCTTGTGATTTTGAAAAATCTCTTTAGGAGATTTTGATGATGAAAGGTCTACATTGATTATATTGATGAAATGATATATACTGTGCAAATACAGCTAAGGTCAGCTTCAGAGCAAACCATTACCTTCTTTAGCTAATGTTTAAGCATGTGTGCGCATGCGCGTGCGCGTGCGCGCGCGCGCGCGCGCACACACACACACACACACACACACACACACACAGAGTTTAATTGGTCCTGTAATTCTAACTGTGATAGACATAGTCAGCTCTAGCACACCATGTTCTGTTTTGCATATTTTCTGCTAGCCTTACAGGTTTATGCACCTCATGTCTCCTGAGCTAGACTATAAGCTAAACAGCTGGAAACTACCTTTTTGTTTCTTGTATATCAACAGAGTGCTCAAGTGCTCAGTTCAGGGCTAAGCATACAGTGGGGTCTACATTCTTTTTTTTTTTTAACTTTGAGATAGTCTCCTTCTGTCACACAGGCTGGTGCAGTGGTTTTTATCTTTGAGATAGTCCCATTCTGTCACCTAGGCTGGTTCAGTGGTGCTATCATGGCTCACTGTGGCCTCAACCCCTTGGCTCAAGTGATTCTCCCACCTTAGCCTCCTGAGTAGCTGGAATCACAGTCATGCACCACTATGCCTGGCTAATTTTTGTATTTTTTACAGAGAGGAGGTTTCACCATAGTGCACAGCCTGGTCCTGAACTCCTGCGCTCAAGCATCTCTCTCCACCTTGGCCTCCCAAATTGCCGGGCTTACAGACAGGAGCCACATGCCCCACCTACGTTCATGTTTCCTTTCTCTTTAGCTGCCTTTTTCATGGCACCACTCTGTTGTCTTCTCCACTCCTGGCCGTCTAAATGGAGCCAACCTACCCATTCCTACCGGGAAGCAGGTGATGAAACAGTTGCAGTTTCAGGTGTTTACTCAGGCTCAACTTAGCTTGCCCACGTAGCCCTTCCTCTGGTTGAGCTCACCTCCATGATTCCTTCTCTTGGTTTCACAGTTCTTAGAAATTCATTCATTTATTCACTCATTCAAACCTTTAGACACAATTCCTTACATGTCTATGCCAGACATGTATCGTATCTGCCATTGAGGATCTTGCTCTCTGGTGATCATTCTGGGTAAGACTTTTTTCCTCAGAGAAGGAAGGCAGGCAGCCAGTCCTGGCTTCTGGGTTGGGGAGAAGGATCTACTGTCCAAGCTACCAAACCCTAGCTCACATTTTGTTTCTAAAATACTTGAAATTTTTGCGGTAAAATGTAACTATATTTTTGTGCAACACACATTGATTTATGCATTAATCTTGTTTACCCAGGTAGGCTCTAAGCTCCTTGATGGGTCAAAAACAATGTTATTTGTTTTCTCTGTAACATGCAAAATAACATATAATGTGTGGATTTATTGATTTCTGTAAATAAGAGATGAAGTGGCTATGAGACTTGGCACATATTGCTAAAAGATTCGACTTGCTTTGCACTGCTCTATACATCCCGCCTCCTTCTCTGCTTCACTACATTCCAGGACTCATCAATTTGACCACAGTCTGTTAGCACCTTCTGCTCTTTTGACTCCTTGACTTGCTCTGCAGGCACTCAACAAATCATCAGCTTTTTTCTGTTCTTATATTCTGGCAGCAGAGCCCTTTGGAGAAAAGCCACATCATGATGCAGATGAGGACCCCAACACTCTCCTGATCGCCATCTTCAGCTGGGAACTAGACTCTGCTTGGCACACACTGCCTTTTTAAATTTTTAAAATTTTTTTTATCTTGCATCAGTGTTTGCTCTTGTTCCCAGGGCAACTGCAACTCTTTCAACTCTACACTTCTTTCCTGAGGTTCTCTTCCTACTCACCTTCTCCGTCTCTCTCTGATAATAAATATCACAGAGCGAATGGAGCTTTATGAGGTACGCCTAATCTCCCTAGAAATTTCATCCTCAATCTCTCCCTTTTGTTAGGAAGAAACTTACTTTTCTCATCTCTTTCATGTTCCCCTGCTGAAGGCCAATCCCTTCACCGGTACCCTTCCTTGGTCCTCTCCCCTCTTGACTTTTACAGGCTCATGCTCCATCTATTAATAAACTTCTGGCCTGACTCATTAATCCCTCATCTGTATTGGCTATTTCTCTTCAGCACAAAATAAGATGCACTATTTTCCACCCTCAAAACCAACATTAGTTCTCAGTATCACTTCTGTGTTTCTCTTTCTGCAGGATGACAGAAGTTTTAACTGAAGGAAGCAGACAGATTTGAAATGCCAGCGTGAACTGTGAGACAGACCTAGGATGGGTTACGTGACTACAACCAAGGTAGAAAGATTGCACCAGCAGAAATGGGGAAGACTCCCACTAGATTTCTCCATGAACTCAATGTGTGCTTCCTGTAGTTGACCCATAGTTGTCGGGTGGTGGTGGGGCGGTCAATCTTAAGCATCAAAAAGAGTGTAAAATATCTCATGTTAATTTTTATATTGGTTACTCATTTAAATGACAATTTTGTATATCTTGGGTTAAATAAAATGCATTATTAAAATTAATTTCACTTGTTTGTTTTTTACGTTTTAACGTGGGTACTAGAATATGTAAAACTAACCATGTAGCTCACATTTATGGCTTACATTCTGTTTCTATTGAACATTACTAATCTAGAGGGTAAGAAAGGCTGAGAGAAGCGGAACTCTTGATGTATCAATTTATATTTTCAAAGTTTTTAGGCACAACTATACAGAGTGTTTCAGACACGAGCTGTACAGGAGAATCATCCTGGAGTTCCTTTGACTGCTACCTAAGACGACCACCTAGCCAGGCCAAGATAGGACTCTGAAAGGCAGATTCAGAGTAGAGTGAACTCCTGAAAACCAGGGGTTTGTGCGGCAGTAGCCACAGGAGGAAGGAAGTGATTACCTACTTCACAGGAGTGGCCATAAGGGGGCCCAGCAGGGAAACCACAAACACTCTAAGAGGAAGTCTCTGCTTTAAAAATCTCCCAGGCCCTATGAGTTTGAAGCTGGGTTACTGAAATGACAGTCAAACGAGGAGGTCAACTGAGCAGGCTGAGTGTATTTCGATCTTTGCAGTTAGATTAAAGGTTGTGAGGTAAAGGAAGTAGATATGATCTCAGAACAGTGACTGGCTATGATTTTGCTGGCCCTGATCCCTGATTAGTTTGGCTTTGTTATGTAACAAACCATACCCCAAACACAGTAGCTTCAATACAGTTCATTTACTTAGCTCCCAATTCTGGGTGATCTGGGAGATTCTTCTGGTATCAGCCTCCTTGGTTCATCTCTGCTGGGCTAGTTTGCATGCTTGCGATGGGTTGGTACTTGGCTATATGCTGGATGATCCAGGATGACCTCCCTCAAACATCTGGCAGGCTGTTGGCCAAGTTATGGAAGTGACTGGGTCATGTGTCTTCCGTTCACAAATCAGTCTGGGCTTCTCCACCGGCAGGCTGTGTGCTCCAAAAGCGGCAAGAAAGGAGTAGCCACAATGTACAAGCCTTTTTTTTTTTTTTAAGAGGAACTCTCACTCTGTTGCTCAAGCTGGAGTGCAGTGGCAGGATCTTGACTCACTGCAACCTCCACCTCCTGGGTTCAAGTGATTCTCCTGCATCAGCCTCCTGAGTAGCTGGCACCACAGGCATGTACCACCATGCGTGACTAAGTTTTTTTTTTGTATTTTTTAGAAGAGATGGGGTTTCATTATATTGGCTAGGCAAGGTCTGAACTCCTGACTTCGTGATCCACCTGCCTTGGCCTTCCAAAGTGCTGGGATTACAGGCATGAGCCACCACGCCTGGCCTTGTACAAGCCTTTTTTCAGCCTTTGCTGGCATTGTGCTGGCCAACATCCCATTGGCAAGTCACACAGCTAGACTCAGAGTGGGAAGCCACTCCAGGTTGCATGGTCGGGGTCCCAATATAGAGTGGGGGAAAATTTGTGGCCATCTGTCCAACAATCTGCACACATTCTCTCTGACTGTCAGTGCAGGCATCTCAGGTCCTATCTCTTCCAAAACTTGGTCTTGACTTCTGAATACCTCCACAAGAATGATGTGCTTTTCCAGCTTCCATAAATATTTAGTGAATAAAGTTGTTCCCACATCATTAAAGCTCTTGACACTGTATCTTTATTATGGATTGCATTATTATCTAGCAACTATTTGCTCTTCAATCCCCATCTCTAAGGTACAGCAGCAGTTCTCAAACATTTTGGCCTCAGGATGACTTTTACTCCTTAAAAAATTATATATATATATATAACATATATTGTAACATATAATATATAAATATATATGTTCAACATATATATTTGAACATATATATTTATATATTATATATATTAAAATATATATTAACATATATTTATATACAAATATAAATTATATATTATAAATATATATTTTTAATATAATATATATAACACACTATGTAATTATATATAATTTATATTTAATATATTAAATATAAATTTAACAAATATATTTAAAGCAATATATTATATATAAATATATAAAATATAAATTATAATATAATTATATATTATATATAATAAATTGTAATTTATATAATATATATAACATTATGTACATAATATTATATGTTATCACTGATTTGCTCAGCCTATAGAATGTGTGTGAACACAGGCCTTAAATGTATCTGCTCAGCTTGGCTTGGCTCTTACACTCTTGTGAGCTGCCATGAGCAAAGGAGGTGTTGGGCACTGCCTTGATGCGAGGAGAATGTGGAAATGTGGAGAAGATCTGAATCCAACCATCAGACTGAAGCCTGGGTCCCAGAGTTCAGCTGAGCCCAACCGTGTTGCAGTGGACTGATGACCTGTGAGCAAGAAATACAGCTTAGTGATTTGGAGGTGGTTTGTCGTGCACCATTAGTGCAGCAATACAATCTGGCACTTAAAAAAAATAAAACGAACAAACATATAAATCACAGGGTGAAGAAGAGACTGGCTTCTCTTTTTCCATGCCCAGAAGGTAAACTTTCTGGTAGCAAAGGTAAGAAATTAATCTACCATAATAATGATCATCTTAATTCATTGAAGTTCTTTCCTTCTAGTTCCTTTTGACTTCCTTCTTCCTTTCTTCCCTTCCTCTTATGCTTTGTTTTTTCATTCTTTTCTTCTTTTATCTTCTTTTAACTATTAAACCTTTCGAATTTGTTGGACACCAGGAATATAAAACAAATGGGATCAGCCTTCTGATTTAGAGGGGGAAATGGACTGTAGTCAAATACTTGAGCCACATGTGAGAGGTCCTGCAGTAAGTTGCTTATAGAAGGTAGTTGTGTATAGAAGGCAGAAAAAAGGGAAACGGTCACATCTGGGTATTCTTCCTCAGAGTCACTGAGCACTTGCATCAGTCCCTTTGCTAGGAGCAAGGTGAACAAGGAGAGCTCCTGTACTTGCTCTCTTCCTTCCAGCTTTTTGGAGCATGGTAGTTCCCTTCTGTGAATTCGCCACATTCTTATTTGATTTTTTTGGAGACAGAGTCTTGCTCTGCTGCCCAGGCTGGTGTGCAGTGGCAGGATCACAGCTCACTGCAGCCTCAAAGTCCTACACTAAGTGATACTCCCACCCCAGCCTCCTGAGTAGCTGAGACTACAGGTAGTGCCATCACCCTCGACTAATTTTTTAAAAAGTTTTTGTAGAGATGGAGATCTTGCTATGCTGCCCAGGCTAGTCTCTGACTCCTGGTCTTAAATGGTCTTCCCACCTCAGCCTCCCAAATGTTGGGATCACAGGTGTGAGCCACTGTGCCAGACCTATCACACTCTTTCTTATCTCAGCGTTCTTCACACACATTTTCCCTCTTCTGGAAACCTACCTCTTCCTTTTCACTTAGCCACCAACTTTGGGTCCCTTCCCTAGGGAGGACTTCTCTCCACCTGGGAGTAAATTAAATTCCCCTTCTGGTTTTATTCATAGCATTTGATCTGTCTTTCACTGTAATGTTGATCATGCTTGCATTACTAATTAAATATCGATTTTCCCTGCTACACAACTAGTCCAAACCAGCTTTCTCTGGGTTACTGCCCTGTCCCCAGCAACTAGGAACTAGCTCAGCACAGAACACAGAAGAGATGCTCAGTAAATATTAAGTGAATTGATCTGAAGTAGCTCAGGCCTGTTATGTGTGTGAGATAATAGGCACGCGAGGAGGAGGCAGGGAAGGGAATCTGCAGAAATTACAGCAATCAGTTTACTTCCTAAGCCCTTGAAGAAAATGCCTAAATTACTACCCAAGTTGATCCCTGAAGCTGGGGTGGACCGGGGGGCGGGGCGGGGAAGAGAAATCCAATTTGGGTTTCCAAAGAGCTGAAGAGCACCGGGCACTGCCGAGACCTCCAACAGCTGGAAAATTCCACTCCAGAGCAGCTGGCCTCACGGATGGCTCATGACGCAGGCAGGGTTTGGCGATAACATTTCCTGGAATTGATGCGTTATCTGCGGCGTGCGCGGCCCAGCGAGCTTGTCTTATTCACAGGAATACAAAAGCCCCTGCAGCGCAGCGCTGCTTTTGTATCCAGCACATCCTCTCAGGCCAGGCGGGAGGCTGCGCGCGAGGACACTGGCGGCTCACGCAGGTGCTGGGGGCGCAGGAGCCCGAGCGGAGCCCTGCCTGCCCCAGCACTTTGTCCCGACTGTTATTGCGAGGGGCTGCTGCTGCTCTTGCTCTGTCCCGGCTTTGCTAAAATCCTTCAATTCCTTCTCTTATTTGTTGGACTCCCATAATAAAAATACTAAAAACTTTACTCTCCTAGCAACCACTAGACTTCCTGCAGCATCTATCAGACACATTGAAAAGACTGTTCAGAATGAAAAGGAGTATTTTGCGCATGCAGGGATTCTTCCTATTTTCAACGAGTTTCCAGTCATCATGGCCACGTGGCATTGTAGACTTCGATAGAATGTGGCATCACGCGGTTGAATAGCTGTAGCCTTGCTAAGACAACAGGGCAGACAAACCTCTGTCTGTTTTTGTGCGGCAAGAATCGTTTTTACATCTTAAATGGCTGCAGAAAAAAATCAAAAGAAAAATGGTATTTCTCCGTGAGTGAAAGTTAGATGGAATCAAATTTCAATGCCTATTCATAAAGTTTTGTGGGAACACAATCATGCCCATTTGTTCGGAGTATTGGTTATGGTTGCTTTCTTTCAGGATTGAAGAGTTGAAACAGAGACAGTATGGCTGGCAAAACTTAAACTATTGATTGTCTTGCCCTTTACAGAAAAAAATTGCTGACCCCTGTACTAGAGGGTTATAGATTTTTTAACTGGCTCAGCCTAAATTTACCAGAGACTTGTTCAAGGGCCCATCATGTGTTTCCAATAGACTGAACTTAAATTCGCCCTCTAAGGAAAGATGTGTGGCTGTAGACGTCTCTGCTTGCTCCTCGGCTTTCCTCCTCCACCCTCTCTTATATTATGGTGTGTGTGTGCATCATAATCATAGCCCAGTGGAAATGA